TGGGTTCAGCCCCCTGGACACATTAAGTCATTGGTTCTTCTGCTGATATTACCAGTAAGGCCCTAAGTAGTCCTCATGGCTGTATTTGGTAACGTGCTTTCTTGAACAGCAGAACTAGACTGTTGCTACTAACTAACTCCTTTTTTTCAAAAATGTACCAAGTATCCCAGCAGATATGACCCACTTTTGGTGACTTCTCACCTGATCAAGTCCCAGAGTAGTGACCTTGTCAGAGGTGAAAAGCTCCTTATCCCACTGCCAATAATCTCCTGCGCTCCCCACACCCCTCACCACCTTTTTGTGTTGATGACTTTTCTTACGCTGTCAAAGCATAATTATGTTCATGCTGCAGGAAGGCTGTTCTCCAACTGGGCATTGTCTCGGATTAATGAACCACCAACCAATTTATTCTTTTTAAATGATAAAATGTGTCCATCATTGCTCCCTCAGCACATAAAGCAATAGTTAATCTAATACATTTATCAGTCACCTGAACAAATCACCTCCACTTCAAACAGCTTGTCAGGTTAGAAGACTGAATTGGGCAGTGACCTTGGGGTAAAGCAGTGCTGCACCAAAGATTAGTTTTCTTGGCTGATTAATAACAGCATTTATTTGTATCTCCTAAAATAGATCACATCTTTCACATTTACTTAATAAAACTAGAGCTCTATGGTAATTTCCTATCAGTGGTTTTTGATGGAAAATGTGGTCTTTGCAAAATTGAAATCATTTACAGGAAACTGTTGGTTTTGCTGCTTTCTATTTTTCTATTGGGAGACAGCCAGCAAATGTAAAAGTTTTTGGTGTCAAGACATTTGAACAAACACGGGTCTGCATTCCCCTTGAGGTGATGCAGGCAGAACCTTATGAGAGTGATCATTCTGGAGGCATCTACTCCTATAGTTCCTTCCTGTCTGGCTGGATAGCTGGACCACATCTCCCATCAAGCATCATAGCTTCCTATCTAGTTGAGTTGCTACAGGGCATCACGGAAGTGCCATGATCATGGAGCATCATGGTAAATGTGGGGCTGCCAGGAGTCTAGTGCATATGGAGAAATGGGAGGAGCTATTGGTCACCAGAACTACAGTTCCTATGAGCCACTGCACAGAGTAAAGTTTGACCCAAACCAAAATTTTCAACATTTCCAAATATTTAAAATTGTATCTATTTCAATTTTTTGTTCATAGTTGTTTAACTGTAGATCAAGTACAGCAAGGTCAAGAGCAATGCCAGCTTTCTTAGTGCTGCTTCATCAGTAATGCTTCATCCCTAACATGGAGGAACGTCTATGTCATTAGTTTGTCTGCTGATGTTGCCAACAAGAGCCCCAAGTAACATAAGAGACAAATGAGAAAAGACTGGAAATTCCAGTGGTCAGCCAGCTCTGCTGAGTACACTTGGCAAATGCTTTAAAGACCAGTCTGAATTAATGGAATATGTTGGTAGCCCCTGGAGAGCAAAGCCCATCTTGCTCAACATGCTTTGCCCCTCTTGTTCTTTGATTTTGTTAATGACTTTTAACATCCCTTCTAGACTGCTGTAGGAGCCCAAGCAACCAGCTGGAATGACCTGGACACAGCCTGGAGAGGACTTTCCTGGAGGTGAATCTCAATTTTCTCTCTAGAAGTTATGTTTCATTCCAGTCAGAGCTCTGGGGACAGCTAGTTCAGGAGTTCATACCCGTAGTGGTATTGAAATTTATATAACCTCATGTAAAAGCTCCATCTTCACCGTGTGTATTTAGCACTTAAGAACCATCAAGTTCTCTCAAGCTCAGCCCTATCCCTGCACTACCTCAGGCTTACTCCTGCTCCTATCCCTGGCTTAATCCATTGGAATATATCTGATATTAGGACCATGTAAAGTCATTAAATTTATGTATACACATGAGAATGTTTTGCAAGTAATTCTGTATTAGTATAGTTTATGCGATCATGTGTACACATGCATGTACGTATAAGCAGGTTGGGCTTGTATACAAGTGCCACTGATTGGATTCATATCTGCACGACTGAGTGCAGACAATAAATGTTTTTACAGATGGGTACGCCTGAGTGTCCATGCTGGAGTGGAAGGAACAAGATGATTCTTATATGCATATAAGAACTATATCCCTGCATTTTTGGATGGAAACATCTGTGCATGTACTCATAACAGTGGAAGCTGCTGAAATATGTGTGTGGAGACACAGTTGTGCACAGAAACATGTTCTGAGTGGCAGATACGGAGACACTTTTCTGTAGCCTGCATCAGAAAAATCTAGATGCCTGGTTAATAGGCATCGCTGCAGTCAGTGCACCTTGAATAATTGACTGTAAATGCAGCATGTTGTCAAGGTTAGCCTGAGCAGGTTTGATGAGGTGATGTGCCTCCTCATGACTGGCATCACCAGCAGATCTGCATGAAGAAGAATTTCCTCATAGTGCTCAGTCAGTAAATCTTCAGGTTCTGTCTTCGCTGTATCCCTGTTGGATTTTTCTGAAATCTCCGTCCTTTGACACTTTTTCCCTGAATTTGTACTTGTCTTGTCTTGTATTTTATCTTTGATCTGGTTGAGCCTTATCTTTTTAAGAAACAAAACAAAACAAAAAACAAAAACTTAGCTCATACACCAATAATGTATAGTGACTACAGGAGAGGTGGTTGGTGCTTACAATATGAACTTTGCTGAGTGACTCTATTCATTTTTCTTTGTAGCATTGGAGGTGATGGAACCCTGGAAACTCATACAACGTTACCTAGTGAGTATCTTGGCAGACATTAAATAGGAAATCGAGAAGCTGTCTTTCTTCCGAGACCAAACTAAACATGTGCTGGAAAGCTTGCGTAGGCCTCCCAGCTTTCTTAGATTGATCCCTAAAGGATGTCCGTTCTTAAAGGATCTAAGTAATTCATTCACACTGCAGATACATCCTGGGGAAGATTCCTCACTCTACAAGGTTTATTTAGTTCCTCCATGAACTGGATCTGGATGGGGCTATAGCATCTACTTGGCTGGATTGGTGAGGGTGGAAGAAATGATGAGGATAACAAAAATCCATGGCAGATGTGTTCCTTCTCATATTTTCCCCTGCACCCTCCCATGACAAATAAAAAACCTGGAGGAGCTGAGGCCACTTTTTATAGTCTGCACAGCAACTGGTGGTCAATAGTGTACTGGCTGTTCGCATACGGCATGCTAGTGGCTCCTCCTGCTCATTTGTTCTGAAAGGCACTGAAAATATATGAAGTATTTTCCCTAGTACTATTGTTCCATGTAAGCAATTACTGCAGTTGCTATGGAGACTGCAAGTGGTCCATGTGACCATGAGGTGGAGGAGACTCCAATGTGATCTGTGCTGTGTAACAGTTTGACAGCTCCTGACACAGTGTGTAGGATTTTATTTCTATCATTATCCATGGGTGTCATCACTATGTTTTAAAGAGAAGTAAGAAACACATTGCGAGGCATTGTAGATATGACACTCGCCACAAAGGGGCTTTGAACTATTAGCGGCACTGTCACAGAAACAATAATAATAATTTGCGTATGTAATGCCTTC